ATTTACACCCTCGGAAACCCTGTACAGGGTCGCTATGGGTCGGAACCGACTCGATGGCACTTAACAACAACAATAGCATCTCAGAAAGGCAAAAACAAAGGAGGACTAAGTATGCAGCATGAAGGTCTTTCATGTAGGAAAGACCAGGAAGAATCATGATAGAGTGGTGGTGGTGGTGCTGATGTGCCCTGGAGTCGGTTACAACTCATAGCGACAGGATTTCTAAGGCTGTAAATCTTTATGGGAGCAGAAAGCCTCATCTTTCTCCTGAAAAACAGCTGGTAAATTCGAACTGCTGACCTTAAGGTTCGCAGCCTGATTTGTAACCACTATGCTACCAGAGCTCCTTCAAGATAGAGTAGTTTAGGATTATTGAACACAGCAAGCCAAAGGTTTCCAAGAGTTGTGGAATGTAAACAGTCATTTGATGTAATCTGTTAACAAGTTGAACAATCTGATGTTTGTTTAAATGTTTTTCTGTGAAGTTCCTGAACTGCACAATACATTTATTTGCAACTTTTATCTTCCTGGGCAAGAGCTTCCTGGAATAGTCAAGTCATGTTGATGAAGAAAGTGGAGAAATAGTTGTTCTGTTAATATAGACAGTACCCTGGCTTGGGTGTAAGACAGCTTCAACTCTCAGAGATCAATCTGATAGAGTGTTTAGGAATCTGACCGAGTACACATTTCTTTTTAAAGAGCAAACAAGTTTTTCTAATCATGAAAGTCTTATAGATTGATTATAGGTAATCTCTAAAATCCTGGGAAGTATAAACAAAAAAATAAGAATTGCCCCATATCACACCATCCCCAAATGACCACTATTGGTATTTCCTCCAGATTCTTCACTGAGCAAGGTGCGAGCTGGTGGGGTCTGCTCTATGGAGTGGCGGCGGAGATGGAAATATTGACAAGGGTCGGTCATACACTGGATGAAGTTGAGAGGGACACAGGTATCCAGGAGACAGAAATGGGAGCTAGTTGATGTGGAACTCCTTAGACAGTGAGTTCAGACTGAGTCATGGTGAGTTTGGGTTGCCGGGAGACATTCAAGTAGACATGCCACAGGTCTGGGTCTCAGACCTGGGACCATCCCACCCAGATAGTAATTGCAGCCACAGAAATTGGTGAAAGTCCCCAGGAGAACTAAAGATTGAGAAGAGAGGAGATGCAAGATGAGACGAAGGCATCTCCCTGACCCAAGGGTGAGTCTAGGGAAACCAAGTATTCTGGTTTACCCGGGACTCAGGATGCTCCCAGGACATGGGACTTCCAATATTGAGGCAGGAAAATCCCAGGCAAACCAGGGCAAGCTGTTCACCCTCAGGGAGTGGGAGGAAGAGGGATCCACAAAGGAAACTGAGAAGAAGCAATCAGAGCAGAGGGAGGGAAACCGGGAAAGACAAAGATGGTGGAAGCCTGGAGGTCAGGAGGAATTGCCAACAGTGTTAAAGGCCAAGGAAGCACCATGTTTATAAGGCCTAGAAAGTGGTCATTGAACTTGGTACCAAAGAGTTCATTGGTGGCTGTGCTGAGAGGACTTTCAAGAGAGTAGTGGAGGCAGGGGCCTGAGGAAGCGAGGACTCGCTGTGGATTACACCACTGGGGACGAGGAGAAGAAGGGAGGGCAGGATTAATAGTGGTGGAGCCATCGCTTCAGAACCTATGGCTGCTTTGAGATCATAAAACCAAAGCATCTGTGGAAGGGCTATGAACTTGTGTGTTCTACTTGTGGTGCTTAGATCTTATAGAAGGGAGTGGGCAGCAGATACAGAGACTGCCCTCAGGGGTCCCTTCTCACCTGAGCAGTGTGTCTCTTCAGTGTTTGCATTTTTTGTGAACTGTGAAGAGAAGGGCAAATGGAGATGGGCAGCAAGCGTGTTGCCAGAGCAACTACCAGCAATGGAGAGCCATGTACAGCACCCTGTGTCCAAGTTAAAATTACTCCTTCCCGGGGGCCAGGCTGGCCTCAGAGCAGCTTCTCAGGGATCCATTCAGTCAGCCCTCAGCCCCCTGTGGAAGCAGCTGGCTTCTGAAGATTCAGAGATTGCCCCCATGGCCCCTCAGTTCTCATCACATCTCGGCTTGTCTCCAGACCTTTCTTCTGTAATACTGTTGTATAGCTTTGAACCACCAATTTTAGGATAAGCACTGAATTCCTAGCTGCAAGTCAGCAGTTCAAGCCCACCAGTCACTCTATGGGAAAAAAACGAAGCTTCCTGCTCCTGTAAGGATTTGTTGTTGTTAATTGGCACCGAGTTGGTTCTTGCTCATAGTGATTCTCTATAGGGTTTCCAAGGAGCAGCTGGTGGGTTTGAACCACTGGTGCTATGGTTGGAAGTCCAGCACTTATTCTATAGTGCCATTCTGGGGCTCCTGTAAAGATTTATAGCCTAGGAAACCCTGTCAGTGTCACTATGAGTCAGAATTAACTCACAGATGGTGATGAGTGAATGAGTCCAATGCAAACCACTTGTACCATCCAGGGATCTGGTCTCCCATGGCAGAGCACATTTTCCCCCTTCTTACAGCATACACAAACCCTGGGATTTTACCAGAATTCCCCAGAGAGCTGGCATTGTCCATAAGGATCCTCTACCCACCCACCCCTAAATACAGGTTCCTTCCCAAACACAACCCAAAGTCCAATAGCTGTCCTGACACAAAGTAGTGCCTGCATTCTCTCTGGCCCATGCCCTGGCTCCTTGCCATGGCCACCCCCTCTTCTGCCTTCCTCATAGAATCACAGTGCAGTTATGTCAGTCTGCTTTCCTGACTCAGATCTCCAAAGTCCACTGTACTCATCACCACAGCCTGAGATTCACTGCTTTGATGAGCTTTCACTTGGAGTCCCAAGGTTCAAGGTTGAACTTGAAGCAGGGTATTTTGATGCTGTGGATAGCCAGACATGCAAAGTATGAAAGATGTTAAGTAAGACTTAAGCATTCTGTGCCTACATCCCACTCCACTTTTGGACTCTACCACCAACACTCAACCCAACCCTGACCACCCCAGCCCTCACCATCAATCACCCTATCCCCACGCCAGTCTTCAGCCCCTTCTACTGTAATTAACCCAGTACTGATCATGATGATCCCACAGATAGGGGAAGCTTCTAAAACACAGCGCTTCTATACCTCCTTTTTGACCCTGCCAAGCAAATAAGGCCCAGGCTGTCTCACGTGGCCACCTAGTACATGCATTTCTTCCTCCTCCTGGTTCCTCCACAGCTCACTGCAGCTCCC